GCTATAATGCAGCAAAAATAAACTTACTTTGTGTTTGGTGGCAATATTCTTGAGCATATTTTCTAATGTTCTCAATGGAGTATCACAGTTTCTATAATCGCCCCACTTCCCGGCTGCTTGTGCCTTTGTCGCAGCCCAACCATCTGTCAGCCGACAGCACATGAGTTCCTTACAATCAGCATTCGAACCTTCTTGGTAATAAGGATCCAAATGAGTGTCAGACAAGTGCAAGACTTTAAGTACAGGTGCTCCTGGCTACATTTGAAATAAAAAATATGAAAATTAACTTTAAAATGAGTGTTGTTATTCTTTTTTATTTAAAATTTCTAATTATAGTTAAATAACATTTTTCAAATGAAAGTTGAGTAAATGTTTTTTACAAAAATTAGAAAGGTGATAGTACAAATCTAGAAGAGCAAATTTACCATTTCATGTATGGTCACATTCCAGTAAGAGAGACAGTAAAGAGTAAAACTGATGTATTCGGTTGAAGTTGTTGTAGCAAAAATTGCATGAGACGCATCAAAACCACCGTAACATATAGACTTTCGCGAAGATTGCTTGTGAGAACTATGCAATGTATCAACCATTTTGAGCTCATGCTCTGAGTTTTCTTCAGATCCAAAAAATCAGATCATGCAACTTTTGTTATCGTTCACTCACTTCCCAACATTGTAGTAAGTTCATGTTGAAATTCGAATTTTACTCTTTTCTGCTTATCAGAAGAGAAATACAACCTTATGTCTTATGCTAAATACTCGTCTCAATGGATACTATTATTTCTGTAAAACCGATTTGGACTAAACTGGTTAATTTAGTTTTAAAAATTGTCAGAAAATGCATTAAAAACCTGGAACTCAAACAAGTGTTCTTTTAATTTAATAATACATAATCTTTTGTATGTATACAATTATGTAAACAGACTTAAGAAAAACTATTTACTAAAAAATGGAATCCTTACTGGTGGATCTTTGATGATTTCAACTGGAGGTTTAGGGAATGGAGTAAGAGGAACGGTCCAATTATGAAGAGGTGATGAGACTCGGGAACATTCGTTACCCATCAGAACACCGCACACTTCCTGGGGACCCAGTGTCGTTCTTTTAAATATGTAATAAAACTCATCCTAAATAAACGAAAATATTTGTAATGAATTACTTTAGAAGAGAATATATAACAAAAATACATAATTCATAACGTGACAAACTGACTATTCGCAATGTAAAGAAAGAAAATAAGTAAAACCTATATTTGCATCAATTGCAAACTTCTGAAGATCAACAAAGAAAAGTTATTTGATTATAATAAAAATTAATAATATTTCCGTTTAAGACTTTTATTTAAATTTATAATAACAAAAGATATGAGAAACGAACAGAGGTCTCAAAAGAAATAATGAAACAAAATAGATGCTTTAAAAACTGCGTTTTTAGGCAGGACAAAGAAAGAAGAACATTCAAATGTGTTAAAAACGAAAACGAAACATGCATGGCGCATCACCGTCGAAAAGTATAGAAGGTTGAGATAGAAGAATATTGCGAATAAAGTGATGAGCCCAACGTTTTTTGTTTTTCATCTGACCCAGCTTTAAAAGAGAATAATGTTCTCCTTTTTAACGTAGCGTTTGCCGCGAAATCAATGGGTTATGTTCAAAAATATACTTCATTTAACATGCAAATTATTATATAATTAATTATAATTTGCATGTGCAAATGCAAATTATAATAAAATTTTAAAATAATTATAATTAATTATAATATATATAAAGAGAAAAAAGTATAACGCGTACTTCTACATTTCTTTTAAATTTTCCTAGCTTTTTCCTCTAGAATATATGACCCTATTTCTTAAAATATGCTTTTTAAGCATCACTTAAAGGTTTTTTGAAAATAAAATAAGAATTATGTACTCCACTATTTGACAGGTGGCAGCACTAAAACAATACAACACGGAGTAGCAGTAAAAATAATTTATTCACTATTGTATTTTTTTCATTTAAAAACAATACTTTTCAACTCTATGTCTCCATATTTCAACTTTAACTTTATTTTTTTCTACTTATACGTGTTATAAGAAGTATCAGCTTAAACAATAACCTATTGTACGCTATTTGAGACTTTATTGAACTCTTAGTACTAAAATTTTATACTAGATGACAGCACTAAAGCCTCTATAGTGAGATGTTAACTGCATCGAGAGAGAAAAAAATTTTATCGAATTTGTAGCAGGTATATAATATGAATGATTTTTTATTTCATTAATTCAATTTTTTTTATTTTTAAAAAAAAGTATCCTACTTTGCCCATTTTACTTTACTTGAATTTTTTATGTAACATTATCCATATATCCCATACTGTAACCAATATATAGTTACTTGGTTTTACAACTCATATCCTACAAAATTTTTATTTAATTTTCACTGTATTCTAAATTGAAATCATACCGACGTTATTTGAATATAATTTTAAAACTGAATTCTATACACTCGGACAAAGGACATGGAATCTTGTCCCGATGATATAGTCATTCTGTTATATTGTCATTCCGATCTAAGCTACTTTTCATTTTAAGACATCTGAAATTTCAAGAGCATTTACTTTAGAAATTAATTGAATATTGTAAGACAAGGGTCTACCTACAGTTACACTAGATATTTACTTGTATAAAAGCGTTTTCTAAAAATTGTAACAATGTTATCTTAACTCTTAAATTCATAATTTTTTTATTTTTAATGAGTGATGTTCGAAACAACCGGGAAACGGGTGTAGTTGATATAAAAAGAAAAAACATAAGTTTTTTTTTCTAATTTAAAAAAAGAAGAAAAAACATGTATTCCTACATCATCATGAACAATCACTTTTGAGCTGCGAACAATCTATACATCTATACATAATAATAAAATAATAAATGCGGCTGTGTGTGTGTCTGTCTGTCTGTAATCACAATATATCGGCCCAGAAGCTTCGCCCAGGCACGAAACTCGGCACATAATTGTGTTTTGACATAATGAAGAAGTACTTTTTTTCTTTTTCAAAAATTTTGATTAGTTATTTAGTTATCAGTCATTTTGTAAGTCTATGCTTTTCGTCTGCTTTTTCGTCTTCAAAGAGCCATATTCAAAAAACTATTAAAAATGCATATACTTTTCCCCACTCTTATAAATGTATGCTAATGCGAACCTCACAATTGAAATATTAATTTTCGACAACTTAAACCAATAATATAAGAAGGAATTAATAATTTA